ATGGTATGTAATCTTACTCTCGTTTAAATCCGGGGTGGTTTTCAACTTTTGTAATATATTTCTTATCGACTTATCCTTTATTCTACCATCTGCTACAAAATTAAATAGATCATTAAAGCTATTGTCTCATTTAAGTATAAGACCATCTTTATTATCAAATGCGAGCTTAAAATTAATATTTATCTAAAAGTAACCAAATAGTAGAACTACTTTTCAGCTTTATTCAACAACTTACATAACGATAGCCGGATGGATTTTTATAGTATGGCCACTTTTCTAATATATCAGATGTAGATTTTTGATTCTTTAAATCCAATAAACGATAGTTGGCACACGCCTTCCAACATTGATCGAACTCTTCACACGTTAAATTATCATATTTTAAAGCTCGAATACAACTTTCGGCATTTTCTTCAGGCTCTACAAAGTTTCATTATAAGTAATTATCAGATAAAATGGTAAAGTAATATGTTTAAAGTTAGAACTGCTGAGAAAGGAGAATTTAATTGTCTTTTAATATAATTAATGCTAAAACTAGTTACCAAATACTTTCTCCAGTCTGGACATTTTATAATTCGCTTTGGTGCACACAGATGTTGCACTTTGTGCTATTGTTGATTTAACCTTTGACTTTAAATTACAATATTTATTGTAAATTTTTCCCCGTTTTGATACACGATAAAATTCCTGAAATAATTTTAATTTAATAATTTCTGTGGGAAACCGTTTAAGAATTTCTTCTTCTAACTTATAGCTAAAGCACAAACTAAGCTTAATACGATTTTGAGTGATACTAGGATGCTTCTCTGTTCCTCCTGAAATTTGTTAAATGTCGAATAGTAATTGGTAAAAATAATACTTTTTGGGCTGGAATTTAATACGGTAGCCAGTGCTATGTATTCATCTTGATGATCATCAGTCTTCCCATAAGGACTAAAACGATGATCAGTATTTGATGTACTTTGACATGGTGGTGGAGATATGGATGGTGATGAAAGGAAGGACACATTGCTGGTCGGCGATTCACTTCGTATTTCAGAGGTACCTGTGAGCGGTTTATCAATTTTTTCTCTCCATTCATCTAGGTGATGATCAAACATAATCTGGGTGCCCAAGTCGAAATGTTTTACTAGTTTTTCAATATGGTTATGTTTTATTACCTCCAACACCGGTACAAATACACTTTGTTCTAAAAGAAAAATATTATTTTAAAATTTATAATCAATTAAAAATAATTACTAAAATTATTAAAGAGGAATAAAAGTGAGGATTTCCAGATTCCATGACTTTAATAAATTACCAAGCTCTATCGAAGCTTCATTGCCTGTTACAGTCTGGATTTCATTATGGTTAGCTTGCAAATTTATGACGCTCGAAGAATATGATATGTCTGTTAGTGATGGCGTTCCGAGAACGTCTTCAATTGAACTATTAGTAATTTGCTGGTTGTTCACATTCAAATAATTTTGATCGAGGCCTTGGATTAATGTTATGTCAAAATCGTTGCTCATGGTGATGTATATAAGAATACTGGTATATAGTATAGTAAGGACTTACTGAAATTAGAATAAGCTTGATTTTTTTTTAATTTTTACCAGATATTAAAATGTTATTGAAGTGTAGTATCCTTTGGCCCTAATCATATTCATGCCTTTTGCAGTTTTTATCAAATCTAATGGTGGGCCAATTAATTCGTCAATTGAAATAATTGAAAATTCACCCAGAGCAGTTGTATCAACTTCATAAGCGAGAAAGTGTGGCTTATAATTAGTATGAATTAATTTTTGAACAAATAATAATACATTATTTATTTCGAAACAATAATTTCTACAACATATATTTCAATATCATTGTTTAATACAGATACAAAATCACCACATTTAAATAACATACCTCTGTAGATTATCTGTGTAAAAAAATGTATAGAAATGTTTGCTTGTTTTGAAATTACTTTTCATTTGATGTTTTCTTTTAAATTTAGAGTAAGTGGATTATGGTTTTGTAAAATCAACGAATAGGCAAATTTCAATTGATACTTTTTCGATAACGTTAGGTATATATTTTTTCGCGAGTTAATACAATGGCAATATATTTTCGATTGGCTATGTTTAGCTTCGTATTTAAAACACCATAGCTTACGTAAAGGTCCAGATTGACGGATGATCCTTGGATAGTGAATGAAGTTGTGAAATTTTGGCTTAAGTGTATCTCTAAATAATATTAAATAATCCTTGTTTAATTTTGTAATTTTATTTTGCAATAATATAATGTCGGTTTGTTGGATTTCAAAGCATAATAAAATATCAATAATTTCAATTAAGTTTCTGAGAAATTTCCATACATCATCGTCATTCGGGGTAGTATCACCTATCATTAGTGGAAAATACATTATAAATGTCATAGTTTCCCTTGCTGTCATTTTTAACCTTTTTTTTATTCAGATGCTGGTGTTCGATTCTGCCTGATTTATTGGCGATTTCTTTAGGACCATATTCAAAAGTTTGTTTTCTCAAATTAAGTGTTTCCAAATCGAAGTACCTCATTTTAATGAAGTAAGTTATTGCGTGACAAAGGCTATAATGGCATATTCCTTCGAAGAAATCGTGCATTATGTCGACATAATGATTATTAACTACGTGAAAAGAAGGAATGTCATTAGGTACAGAGTTTTGGAATATTCCCCTGTTTTCAGATATATTGGCCATGTCTAACTCATAATTTTCAACTGTTCGTATCAAGTCATTTTCCTCATGAGTTAATTTTTGGGCGTCTATATTTCTACAATAAAAACTAGCTGAAAATGATTTATTGAAATCTAAAAATAAATTAAGACCTAAATTATCACCTAAAATTAAACCCATAATGAAATGGACTTGTATTAAATTTTCATTTATTTTAAATTCTATACCTTGAACTTCTAATTCTATAATTCCTTATATCAAGTTTTTAAAGCATCTTTCATTGCCGAACTCTTTTACGCTTACTGATTTTATAACGGCACCATGAAAAATATTGTCGAGCCTAGAGTTTTCCTCTGGTAGGCAAGGGAAAGAATAATAAATGTTACAAATGAAATGTTTGTTATTATTACATCCAAGTGGGTTATTGATTTCAAAATCATCGATATAAATTATATATGGTAATATAGTTTTATTCGGCTACATTTCTAACTTACTTTTCCACAGCTCACCCTGAACAGAGTTAGTAAGTTTAGTTTGTTTCCTTAAATATTCATATTACGCAATGTGTCTTGTAACAAACTGTTTCTCTGAAAGAAGCATTTAAATTGAAATTTAAGAGGCATTAAAACTCCTGTCACTTTTTTTTCATCAGTCACTAAATTGCCTTTCTTGTGTACAACATTAATCTCGTTATTTACAAGAAATTCTTTAACCTCATTTATATAACCTTGTTTCTGTAGTGTTTTAAACAAATGATGATTTGTGCTAAATCTTTTGAAAGGGGTTTTGAAACTATTTATAATAGAAAGAAATGTATTGTACAGAACATTATTTTCATAAAAATTATATTTGGCAAAACCTTCTAAAGTTTGCAATATAGGTTCTATTACAAGTTTATCTGTAAGCATTTGAATGTCAAAAACATCTTTTCGTGAAAAGTTATTATTATTGTGAAGAGTAAGTAAAAATTTTGTAATTGAATTATAAAACTCATTCTGTAGCAATTCAAACTCTGATGTAAAATCAAGAGGATTTTGAATAGGTTCGGATTGGGGTTCGTCAATTTTAACACAATCAATAGAATTTTTACAAGCTAAAGAATCAATTTTGTTACATGTATTAACCAATGATATCTGATTCTGAACTTTTACTCGACGAAGAACATTTTCTAAATTATTAACACGGGTGTTCGACTCATTGTCAGTAGTAACTGATTTGAAAGTAGTACGAGTGAGATGTTGACGATTTACATGTTTTTTAAAACTGCCTAAATTTTGAAAAATTTGATAACATTCTGGCTCGTAACATTTATAATATGAATGATCAGAAGATAAGTTATGATCACGTTTGAAATGTAAGAAAAAAATTTTTAAGTCGCTAAAGGTTTCTTTGCAAACGAAACATATCATTTTCCAATTATAATATAGTCGACTGCAAAACAAATATATATGTTAAGTATATGTTTAAAAAATAATATAAACTTACCTGGTATATACTTTCTCTTCTTTCCCCTTATATACAACGTTACGCGCTTAAAACTGTTTACAAAATAAATCGGAAATAGTGCAAGTAATGCTCATCTTTTACTATTGCACCACATGTGGAAAATGACGACGCAAGCGCAGCACTCGTGTTTGTTGCAAGTTACAACAAGTCCACGCATGTATTCGTGTAGCAGACGTATTTGTTAATGATTTCCATACATTTAATAGTGGACATACAAAAATGTTCGTGAAATACATGATTCAATACATTGATCAGTATGAAATGCGTACGTGGACTAATAGACAACGAAATCGTTTTCAAAAAAAATTAAAAATTATAAAATTCGTTATTGTAAGCATGAAACTATTTATTGTCAACACGAACATTCCATTGTCAGTCAACGTAAACTGTTCATGTTAAACCATTACTGTGGATTCATTACAACAATAAATGCATTAATGGAACAATTATGGGTAATTCGTTTAAAACATTAATGTTTTCATGGTTACTACTACTACTATGACTACTAGTCAATAGTCGGTGTTAATGTATATTATGAACAAAATTTTTTATTGTCGGTAGAGCCGACAATAAAAACATCCATCTTTAACATTCACATAGTTTTCTTTTAATACTAATTAAAATTGAGATGGAAAGAAATAACCAAAAAAAAATAATAATTAATTTTAGTTCGTACTTATGTGACAAAAATTTGTTATGTATACGCGAGATAACTATTATTATAAATATCTCATTTGTAAACATTTATAAAGAACACTCTTTCTTAACCTTTGCACTGAATATATTATCGTACGATAAGTGGGCTAGTATAAATGCTTTATTAAATTATCAAACGTTATTTATTAATAGACATGTTTGCAGAGGTAATTTTGCTTTTAATTGCAACAACAATAAAGTCAGTCGTTTCTAATGGTTAGTTTAATAGTGCGTGTATATTGTGATATTGTCAAAATAAAATTGAAAAATGTTAACTTTTAATGTTGTAGAACCTTTCTATTGGAGAATTTATAATGGTTCAATGCCAAATGATGCATTTCCAACCGGAACACGAAATATGTTTGTCGGTCGAGTAGGTATATGTTTAGGTAAGTTGTACAATAGAGTTTTACATACATACTTATTGACTACTACGAATATCATTCATACCTTGACAATTTTATTCTTCATGTTGGAGATGAAGAGTTATTTGGACTTAGGAGACGTTATGATGTTTATTAATTATTAACAACACCCCCTTATAATTTTTTGTTCTTAATTAAGCGGTTTCCATATCCGCATTATTAGAGATCACATATTCCAGATTCTTATATTGTTCGCCTTTCGGAACTGGTGTTCATTAGAGTAATAGGTGGTAGCCCTACGGTCTTAGCCTTGACCAACACCACATTCCAAGTGCTGCGCCTAAGTTGACGTTTTTAACCACCATTTTTTGTTGCATTTATGGATTCTACATAAAATTCTGAGTATTTTTCATGTAGCACAACCTATATCGATTCATATGTCTTCGAAAAACTGGCTGTTTTAAAAAAATACTTTAATTTTTTTATTTCAGGTAAAAGATAATTATCTAATTAATTAAATGCTGAAACTGAAACTCCTCTTGTGCTTGGCAGTATCCCAAACGATTGATAAATTCATGCTGGACCCTAGTAGTTGTTTCTTTACTAACAAGAGAAGTAACACAATTGTGTCAGACCGATTTCGATGAAATTTGGTACAGCCATAGAATGGACCACAATAAGGTTTATGTATTTTTTTATACATGCGGTAAAAGCCCCTGAGCCAAGTCTAAGAAAGGTAGAAAATTTGGGGAAAAAGTACATTTTCGCTTATATTTCAAAAACGAAAAGTGCTATCAAAGTTTGGTAAATTGAAACTGATGAAATTTAAACTATAAATTTAACTTTAATATAACTACGTGAAAAAATTAGTTTCTTAATTTTAAAATACGTTTCTGCATATTTTCAAATTTTATTGTTTCGTTCTTAAACTCACCTTCTTTCAAAACGTTGAATCGTAAATACCTATACAATTATGTTTTCTCTGTATTTTCGAATTTAGTTACAATTTGATGTAAAAGTCGTCTCTTAATTAGTAATATACAATTAACTTAATTATATTTTTTTCTAATCTCATTTAAAATGGAGTGTTGAATCTTTAATATTATAATAGAACGTCTCAATAATTTTAGAGAATTATATTAGAAGTACTTTTTAAGTATTTGTAAATAATTAGGAGAAATAATAATATTTTACACAAATTTTCCACATAAAAGCTTGTCTTGAGCTTATATCCATAGATGTCTTAACACACCTTTATCGGATGAAAATAAAAATAACGAATTTTAGATTATTAAAACAATAGCACTTAACAATGGTTTTTCTCACACACAAATTAATTCACTTATCAACAAATTAAAATTGAACCATAATCTTAATTCTTCCACATCTTTACAAAATTTGACAGAAAACGAAAATAGTTAAATTTATAGATCTATCAATAATTAACTAACAATTTTCATAGTAACATATCCCATAACATAAAAAGAATTTTTAACAATTACAATAACTTTTTTAACAAAACAATTTTTTAATGTCAAGGATAAAATCGGATTGTTGGACCAATAATAAGAAGTAATTTAATTTTTTTAATTAATCACCAATTTTAAATATTATCTAAGAGCTTGCAACATGGATTCAAGTAAGATAAGACCTCAACTTAATGCCTTTACGCACCAGTTTTTCAAATTTTTTTTCACTTTTTTTTGACATGCGGCGTTTGCGAAGTTTTTTTCTTGAGTCGATATATTTTTCGTAATAATTCTTAAGGGACCCCTAATTCAATAGGGGTCACTTTGTGTTTTGCATTTTAACCTTGATTAAATTGTTTCTTAAAATTTTTGATTTATTACTTTAAGATTTTGGAGATTGTTTTTATATTGTTAATTATTTATATTTCAATTTTCAATTTTTAATATTTTAAGTTTTTTTTAACTGCAACTACATTTGTACTTTCATAATTTAACTAGTTCTAACTAAGTGAACTAGTTTTTACAATTGTCACTTTGAACGCAAATAACAAAAAAAAACTACTCCTTAGAAAAAAATCGAGTCCAGCCTCGTTGGACGCGAAATTTAATTCTTTATAATATATATTCTTAGTTATATATTCTTTATAACTTTTTCTCCCACTCGTATAATAATTGTCGCAGGTATAATGAAAAAATGTACGAGATTTCGGACGATCGGCGAAGAAGCTAGACTTTGCAATTTTTTACACGGGAACGCTTCATCGAAAAAATTCTAAATTTCGACCACACATTGCCTACGGTGTACTAAACATGCAGGTATTTTTATTTTTTGCTTTTTCTGACCCATTTTAAATAAAAAAAATATATATTATGTGAAATAGTGATATCTCGATAACGCGTTATCGTATGAGATTGGCGGTAACATCATTCTAACCGCCTGATGTAATTGAATAAAACCCTAACCTTCATTGTACATGAAGTACTCAATGCGATTTTATAATGAGAGTTAAATCAATCTGCGCGAATCTCTTCCCCGACTGGGCCTCTTCGGCATTATGTGGGGAGGGGCATCTTTATGTGGCGGGGAAACGTATAGGACAGGAACGGCTTAAGCGCACTGTACAAATTTTTGTTTTTTTTTAAATTTATTTTTCTAAACAAATCACACTATTTTTTACTGATAACCACAACAATTTATTATCTGCTAGATTAGCGGCATTACTGTTGTTATTCGTGGGTTTATATACGGTTTAGCACAAATGAAAACAACAACAAATTTTTAAAGAATATATTTGTCGCGGTCTCGTTGTGTGGCTTTATTGTTGATTTGTTAACGTTTATTCTGGAAATTATATTTATAAGACAGTGGATATATAGTAAATTTCTTTTCATTGCATTCATAAGTTTGCGCCGTTGTCATTGAAAACGTAATACAAGTAATCATACCGACATGCCTAAGCATTATACGAAAGAATTTAAAGAAGTAATTACTAATGTGCAGGTGTCCCAAATTCGTTGTTCGCATTGACTATCTCTGAAACTAAAAGAGACAAAAAGTAGCTTACATATCATGATCTCGTTTTTCGAGAAACTGCTAATACCAAAAACTCCGAACAGCCATCGTTTTTTGTTTTCGCCCTATCGGCAAAAACTGAAAAATTTGCTGCACTTATTACCAAAGATGGAGTATTATAATTAAAGCATTGTATGGGCAACTTTTTACGAAGAATTCAGTTAATGTATTGGTGCTCCATCATCTTGAAAATATATCATATGAGACATATTTCATTGCAAATTGTCGACACTGACGTGACTTTCAGTTTTCCTGGTAGATACTATATGGCAAAATTCTATTATTTAAAAGGGCACACCATACATTGAACCCGAATCTTCCTTGAGAACATTAAGAGAAATACGTTTATTGTTAGAAAAAATATTCCCGTACTACTACCGTGAACTTCATCGGCCCAGATGACATTTTGAATAAAGCAGATTATTTAATTTTTCTTTCACCGAGAAAATTATAATCTTAGATTGGCATATCCGGCACGTAAATGATGAGTCACCCGCGCTTCGTATGGTTTATACTTATATTTCTTTAATATTCGAGAGCAACGGCTTTTGGGTTAGACGTCTTGTATTGTTTCTCTGCAAGATGTTGATGGCTTCATCCTCCTGAAGGTCATTTTGGTATGTTTTTGTACGTGGTTTCGTAAAGGACCAAAAATGCATTAAATTTTCTGCTAACCGACTGAAGGTTCTTGCGTAAGGTTGGCTTCTTTCCGGATACCTTCTTATTTGATAACATGACATTCCATGATGTTGCATTTTTCATAATTTTCGAAATTAATTGTAAAGTTTTATTCAGTTTTGTTATACATTGACACTCAACATGACGGAGTACCAGCTCGTAATGCCACAGTTTTTAGCGAATTTTTAAATACAAACTTTTACAATTATTGGATACCATATTTCCCATCATAGTATGTATGGTTATCACCATAGCAACACTAACTTTTAAATACATACATTAGTTTTAGGTAGAATAAAAAGAATTTATGTTATTATTATTCAATAACTATAAGAACTATACTCAACAAACTATATATATTTGTTCAGAAAAAAATAACAAATTTCAATTAAAAATTCATTCCATTTAAAAAATAAAGTTACTTCTATAATCTCGATAATAAAAGATGGGGAAAAAAATTCTACCTACACCACTGAATTCTTTGTAAAAAGTTGTCCATATAATGTTTTATTTATAATACTCTGTCTTTTGTAATAAGTGAGATATTCGCGTTTGCCGTTTTTGCAAATATTTCACTTTCAGCAGATAGAGCGAAAACAAAAGACGATAGCTGTTCGCAGTTTTCGGCATTAGCAGTTTCTCGAAAAACGAGATGATGACATGTAAGCTACTTTTTGTCTATCTCTTTTAGTTTCGGAGATAGCCTATGCGTACAACGAATTTGGGACACCTGTACAATACAACAAATTTGTAAACAATACATTTCATTTTTCTACATAATCTCGTACAGTTACAGTGGTTTGAGTAGGTTCTGGATGAATTTCAATAGGTATATTTTGTACTGGTTTTACAATACAATTATATTATTTAACCGTTATTTAGAGTTTCTTTTATTGAAAGAACGTTTTAATTATTTAACTTTCATTTAAAATTACAATTTATGCTACATTTGGTAACTCCTCCCGTCTTAAAGTGAGCCAAGGATTGGGAGAGCTTCTCTCCGGGAGTTGGGTTACTGAGTTTTCGCTATCCTGGACTTTTTGCCCTTTTCTAAAACAAAGTAAAATAATGATTAAAATAATTATGGTCACGGTTCTAATGAGTGACGTCATCGAACTCCCTAGACTGAAAAGGTGGTTGGTTCTGAATTCTCGTAGTCTGTGGTCTAGTTCGGTGAGATTGGTTCTTGCATCATTCATTGTTGCCAATTGGAGATTCTTCATGTGGATGTTTTCCAGTTGCCAAGGTGATTTTTCCTTTGGTATGGTGGACAAATTTACAGCGGCCAAATGGAATTGACGATC